TTGATAAAAAGGTACTGCTGGCAAAGCAGGCCAGGAGTTTTAGTCCTCAGGCTGATGGATAAATTGGCCTGTATCTGCCTCCCCTCTGATAATTCTGAGAAAATAGATCTACGTTAACAAGACTGACAATTTGCCAAAGAGGTGAAAGCTTGTTGACTGATAGTATCTCTTGGCTTCCCAGTGAGGTGGCAAAGGGTTTGTTATCTTCCTTCTAAAAATAAACACAGGGAAAAAAAAATAAACACAGGGATAGAAGCAGGGAGGGCACACGTGCAGGAAGACAGGGATAGAAGCAGGGAGGTCAGAGGAGCTGGGGCGGGGGTGGGGTGGGGGTGGGGGGATTTGGGGGGGGGGGGCAGGACCGAATGTCCTGGAGGGAGGGGGAAGGTGGGGACAGAGACGGGTATCTCTTCCTTGGGGTCCTTGTAGCGGAGGATGAGGAGCTGTGAAGCATCGCAGGAAGGGAAATCGCCAGCTATTGATTCCTTAGATTGCTAAGTGTCACCTAATCCTGTTGGCAGCCTGCTGGCATTAGAATGGGGCTCCATCCTGTCCCTGTCATTTCCTAGCTCCCTAACCTTGGAATGTACCAGCTCCCCTGAGCCTTAATTTCCTTACCTGTGAGATGTGGAACATGATGCCTCATGTTGAGAATTAAATCAGAAACTATAATGAGTAGACATTCATCCATCCCTTCTATGAGTGATTGCTGTCACCAGCAACTTGCACAGTGCACCAAGCCGGCTTTAATAATGATTTTGCCCTCTCACCCAGGCCAAATTCACTGTGGGAGTGAGTTTTATGCCCACATTTCCACAGGCACGCAGCTGGTGGTCCAGAGACTAGCCTCCCGGAAGCTGCTCTGGGCAGCGGTGACCGAGGGGCTGAGAGCCCTCAGGTTCTTCCGTGGGCCTCTCCTTTCTTGCCCTTACAGCCTTCCCTCGGGGCTGTCCTGGAAGTCAAGTCCTCCTCAGAGATGGTTATGTGCTTGGAGGTCAGGGGGCCTCTCTGATTGCAAAGTTGATGGGATGCCCATGGAACTAAGGGAAGCTGTGGGATAATCAAGGGACATAGCAAATTCTGATGCACTGATCACACAGAGATGAAGCAACAACCTCTCATTTTGCACAAGGAAACAGATGCCCAGCCAGGGTGTGTGACCTGCCTGGAGCCACACAGCAAGGTGGTGACGGGGCTAAGATTTGGACACAGAGTTCTGGACTTTCAGGCTAGAGGACATCCTCTTTCCCTCAGAGGAGGCATTTGTGGTTAGCAAAGGAGGTCATGGCGTTTTAATGCTGTCCTAAAGGGAAAAGGCAGGGAGGAGCAAAGCAGAGGGATACCACAGACTCGTGGTTCCCGCCTCCCACCCCCCTTTTAATTGTGTTAAAAACACATAATATAGAAATTACCACCTTAACTATTTTTAAGTGTACAGTTCACTCGTGTTAAGCATCTTCACATTGTTGTACAACAGAGGTTTTTCATCTTGCAACACTGAAATGCTATACAGTACTCACCAAAGCTACTCCCCCTCCACCTCCTCCCACTTAAGTAACCACCTTTCCACTCTGTTTTGATGATTTTGATGACTTCAGATATTTCGTCTGAGTGGAATCTACAGTATTTGTCCTTTCCCCCAACACTTTTTTTTTAAATCTGTGTCTTACACTGTTCACAGGCACAACACCCTCCCATTAGTAACATCTCCAGTTACACAGAAAAAGGGGAGGGAGAGATGGCTGCAAATGCTCACACGGCCGAATCTTGGGTGGGGATACATGCAGAGTTGGGAAAAGCCCTCTAGAAATTCTGGTGCTGTCCCCCGCCCCAAGAATGTGCCCTCCTTGCCGAGAATCACCACTGTGGATGGAAAGAGAGCCCCCCAAAAGCACCGGAGGCAAAGCAGACTCAGGCACAAGATTTATTGAGCACCCAGTACTATTTGTGCAGAGTACCGGGCAAAACACTGGAAGGAAATACAGTGGGGGTTTAGCAGCTACTGTCACTGGCCTCATGAATATTACATTTTAACCGAATGGAGGAGATAGCTGTTAAGCACACACAAACCTGTGTAACTAACCACATAGATGCATGCTCTGTGCATTCACCACTACACGTTTATAGTGAGAGATCACCGCAGTAACGAGGGTGAGGAAGCCACTGGGACACATGGTTTAACAAGATCAGAGATACATTCAAGTTGTAACTTGCCACTCTGCCGCGAGTGGGAGCTACCAGAAGACACTAGAAAATACCAGAAACTTGGTGAATCTATTTTCTTAACTCTACTGGTTACTGTATTTCAAATTCAAATTGGTAATCCACTTTGGCATGAAATAAAGGCAGTTGACTCAACAAAATACTAGCATAGATTTATGTTTTTGTTTTTGTTTTTAATTTAAGAGCCCTAGCTGGTTTGCTCAGTGGTACAGCATCGCCCAGCAGACTGAAGGGTCCCAGGTTCGATTCCCACCATGGGCATTTACCTCTGTTGCAGGCTAGGTGCCCAGCCCTCGGGTGCATGTGGGAGGCAACCAATTGATGCGTCTCACATCGATGTATATCTCTCTCTGTCTCTCCCCTCCCATTCTCTCTAAAAAATCAATGGGAAAAATACCCTCAGGTGAGGATTAACAAAAAATAAATAAATTTAACAGTAAAATCAGCCTGTTGATACTACCATTCCCAAAGGTCAGGCACAGGTTCAGAAAGTTAATAGTATTTTTCTTATTTTATTTTTAAAAAGCTTTTATTGCATGAAAGACCTTCCAAGAAATAGTAAAGGGGGTATTTTATTGGTCTATATCTGGGAAATCTTGTTTATATTTTTATGTGAGTCAAAAATTACTTTATAGGAATGTGTTTAGTGCATGGGACATGAGTACGTCCACTAAAAAGTATTTTAGCATGGGTATTTTATCTGAAATTAGAATTTAATCAGACATCTTGTATTTTTATTTGCTAAATCTAGCAACCTATTCTTAGGTTATTACACCGTTGGAAATTCCAGAGTTTCCAAGAATGGGGGGGCCTCATTTATCTTCATTTATATGCTAACACTGTCAGAGGGGAAGGCTTCTTCTAGTAGAAAAATTGTAGATTTTGTAGGATTTACTCAAATATTATAGACATTTTCAATTTCTTACTGCTTTTATAATTACCATTTTAGCAGCTGAATTTTTACTTTGAAATCTTTGAGATGACTGGTTATGAATATTAACATTATATTGCAGTCTGAGGAATAGAAAAAACGAACATCTGACTTGAAAAGTCTCCTATGATAAATAGTTACATCCTCCAATTTCTTGTCCATTAGTATGTGACCATCCCCTCACCCCCCAAAAAAACAAATGGTGACACTCCTATCTTCTTAAATTAGACAACGTCCCTACCCCCATTCATTATCACTTCTTGCCATTCTCCTCCCCTTTCTCTCTTCCACAGTTATTTTTTTTTTTTCAATAATTGAAACCACTGGCCCTTGTGTGCTAAGGAGTAACATGTCAGGCCCCATGAAAACAAGAAAAAAGAGAAGAAGAAAAAAGCTCACTTGTTAGATGCTCGGAGCCATGGAAGCTATAGCTTGCTTTGTGTTTTGTTTTGCTTTACCTACGCTAGCATGTAAACTTGTTTTAGTCAAAAATGCCTGTTAATTTATTTAAGCAGACAGGACAGTGTGGCCCCCACACCCCAAAAGAAAGAAGTGCTGGTAGGCTGGACTGACACATTCTAGTCTAGAAAGGCATTTCTTGTTATCTAAATGTAGAGCTCACATCTTTATCTTTTGAGATTTGTAAATTGGAGGAGAGAGATTTCAACACTGATTTGGAAAGACAAGATGATCACATGAAACTCCAACTGTTGCACAGAAATGTAAAATTATAACACTGCTGAATTCCAGCATCCATATACTTTCCTTTTTTAAACACACCAAAGAATATACTTCTATATAAAGAACATATATGTTCAGTTTACACATGTACGTAAAATCAATACAATTATTAGCAAATGGGTAGATTGCACTTAAAGGCATAGGCAGCTTTGAATTCAAAAGCTATTTTGTTAACGGAGTCCAAGGATGCCAGTTTTTATTCTGGGCCCGACTACGCGTGTTTCCACGCTGGGCCAGGCATGCAGAGCGTACAACTCTCCTTCGTAACCTGGAGGTCTTTCTGAAACAGAGGAAGTGCCAGATGAGTAAGAAAAATTAATTTGAGGCAAAGAAGCCACGGGGCTTAATATCACCATATGAAAGTGGAGTTAAGCAATAGATAGCATTAACATGGACAAAAATTCTAGGCGCCTTCTGGCACTCACTACTCCTTATCGCAGGGTACCATTTGATCCAGCTGCTTTGCCTGGTATTCTCTGTTCATTTGGGAAACAGGAATTCCAAATTCCGTCTCTGAGATAGTTTCTTGTGCTATTCTGATGACAGCACACACTTATGTCTCTGCATGTCCTAGACGGACCTCAAGAAGATAAAGTCAAGCTGCTCTCTTACTACAGAAAATAGCCAGGGGAGGGGTTGCTCCCTCTTCCCTTCTGTGGTCACGATGAGGGGGTGACTAGAGAACGCACATGAGGGATAGACTCCCCAGGGACAAAGCAGCCGCCCCAACTCCGCATCAGCAGAGTCTAGAAGTGTGTCACATGAGTGAGAGCCCACCTTCCATAGCCTAGAACCTTCTAAAGCTCAGGAGGCCCCCTCCCCCCCAGGTGGAACGTGTGCTGGCAATGACATTGGCAGCATGAACCCTGCTGGACTCAGCGCCCCACCTGCTGAGGTTTCCTCCTGAGGATGTTAGGGAAAATGTCCTGCCTTGAACTCAAGAAAACAAGCCAGGGCCCCATCCCAGCACCAGGAGGCAGGATGAGGAGCAACCGTGGCTAGTTCCCCCTGGAATGGAGCCTCTCTTCTCTCTCACTGCCTGCCTCCTGTTGGCTCCTGCTTTCTTCTTCTCTCCCTCCCTCAGCACCCCTGCTTCCTTCTGCCCTCAGGGGGCATTGCCCCCCATGTGGCTGTAGGAGTACCTGGACAGAGACGCCCCGGTGGTTCTGCCCTCCTCCTCCCCCGCCTCTCCCCGCGCCCCCGGGGGCCCCGGGTGCGGGCAGCAGGGGAAGGTGGCCAGGAAGCCCAGGCGGAAGCGCTTGTTCATGAAGCAGTAGATGATGGGGTTGACGCAGGAGGACGTGTAGGACAGCAGGAGGATGAAGGAGATGGGCGTCCCCGAGAGCTGGCGCTCGGCCGAGGCCGGGTCGTAGGCGCGCCAGGCGTTGGCGCTGAAGATGGGCATCCAGCACAGGAAGAAGAGCGCCACGATGACCATGAGCATGCGGATCACCCGCTTCTTGGCCAGCAGGTTGGTGGCGGAGCTGCTGCTGCGGATGCGGCTGGCCCCGCGGCCGCTGGCGATGGACAGGCGCTGCAGCTCCAGCTGCCGGCGGGGCTGCGGCCTCTGCAGGTAGCAGCCGTCGCTGTCCTCGAACCTGCCGCTGCTGCTGCCGGTGCTCGCCTTCCTCTCTGCGTGGGCAAGGACACCGCTTATTGCTCAGGTCGGGCCATGCCGCCCAGCGGCCCAGCACCCCCTCCAACAAGGGGGCCAATCAAACTTGAACGGAAGGATGGGGCAGGCAACATGGGCCAGCATTGATCTGTACTACCTTTTCCTACTAATGAGAAGCCACTTAACACTAATAAAACAACATATGCGATATATGACATGCTAGTACATAATATACAAAATAAAACAGCATTTTATATAGGTAGATTCTAAGGCTTAAAAACGACTGAAGAGGCCGGGCCGGCGTGGCTCAGTGGTTGAGCATCGACCTATGGACCAGGAGGTCACAGTTGGATTCCTGGTCAGGGCACATGCCTGGGTTGTGGGCTCAATCCCCAGTGGGGAGCGTGCAGGAGGCAGCCTATCAATGATCTCTCTCATCATTGATGTTTCTCTCTCTCTTTCCCTCTCCCTTCCTCTCTGAGTCAATAAAAATATATTTTAAAAAATGATTGAAGAACTGCCAAACCGGTTTGGCTCAGTGGATAGAGCGTCGGCCTGCGGACTGAAAGGTCCCAGGTTCGATTCCGGTCAAGGGCATGTACCTTGGTTGCGGGCACATCCCCAGTAGGGTGTGTGCAGGAGGCAGCTGGTCAATGTTTCTCTCTCATCGATGTTCCTAACTCTCTATCCCTCTCCCTTCCTCTCTGTAAAAAATCAATAAAATATATTTAAAAAAAAAAAATGATTGAAGAATGAATATTCACACTCTTGTCCTTCTTTCCCCGGCTCCTTGGTGGAAAGGTTGCTGCTCGCTGGCTAAGCCTCCAGACCGCTTTTACACGAGGAATCTAGACAGTGAGCAACAATCAACAAAAACCAAAGAGGCCGGAGAGACCAAGTCACACACGAGGGAAAGAGCGAGGCGAAGAGGTGGAGTGAGCAAGGGGAAAAGTTCTGACAGCAAAGGTGTTGGGGTGAATTCCAGTGGATAGTGGGCTGTAATGGATGGGGACGGGGTGAGGCTTGGTGGCAACTCCTATGGGACAGTGAAGGGAGGGGACAGGCTGGAGGACTGGGGTTACAATGAGCTTTAGTGGCTGAAGGGGGTCCGTTTGAATACGACATTACAGAAAGTCTGGGACACGTGGGCCTTGGCTTCCCATTGGGGTCTGTGTGTATTATCTCCTGTTATTCCACTCGGCGCCCGGGGAGAGGAATGATTTCCCCATTGCTCAGATGAGGAACCAGAGATGCTCCTCTCGAGACTGTGCCTCATGCCACAGTCTGAAAATCTCCATCAGACCGTGGGGATGTCTAGTTAAGTTACAGAAACCAAGCTGTGAGATCTTTTGGCGTAAACATACAGCTACAAGACAGTTACCTCGAGCAGACTTCTTCTGGCTAGCATCAAATTTTATTCCTTGGTAAAGTTCCAAAGAGATTAATCCATACGCCACCATCATCACGATTCCAGGAATAAGAAAGAGGATGAGCAACAGGAACGTGTGCCTAATGAGATAAAAAGAAATCCAATAACCGGCAATCCAGTATTTCCAACGCAGATGGGACGGAATCAATAAGGTTCATCTCCACTCAAACTGTTCAGGGCAAACAGTCATTACCAGCATTTCATATCCTTGGAAATTCCATGTGTGGAGGTTCAGTCATTAGAAGTTATTTACTTTTTTTTTTTTCTGATAAAGTCTCTTACGAAGGACTTGTTAAATTGGAAATGTTTTGTGCCTGAGACAAGTCTACATATAAAATGAGAGCTTAAAAAAAGAATATGTGAATTTTATTTTAATAAAGCTGTTACCAAAAAAAACCCAAAACCAGCAACAACAACAACAAAACAAACCCAAGAGCTTACATTCATTGAGGACTTATTAAATGTGTTACACACTAGGTAAGCATTTTCTATAGCTATTATTACATTTAATCCCATCATAATCTTTGAGGTAGGGAGTATTATAAGGCCTACTTTACAGTAAGGAAACTGAGACTTAAATAACTTGTCTCGAGTCACACAGCTATTGGCAAAGGTGGGATTCGAACCCAAGCAATATGATTCTAGAACCTGTGCTCTTAAGCATATCACTATGCCATCTGTTGACTTTGTGACAACTGAATAATCACCAGCACAGGTAGGGATGATGGCAAGCCTACTTTGTTTTGCAAAATATGGCATTCTGGCTGGCTGTGGCACATTGGCACGGGGTGTGCCCACTTGGGTGCCTGGTGGGCACAGCTGTGCTTTCTCTAAACACGTTTGCTTCCTGAATGTCACGGCCTCCTCTTTTATGAGTCTGACCCCTCAGTCACTGCAGCCTGGCATGTGTAAGGTTACGTGACGAGGCCATAAAATTGTCAGAGGCTCATGGTGGCCGGGCCATTTCTCATTTCAATTGGACATGTTTTGATAAGATTTCTTTTCAAGTCCCTCTCATTTGCAACATAATTCTTGTGTGTGTGTGTGTTACTGAGTTGAAATGTGAAAAAAAAAAAAGGAAGGCAAAGAAAGCAGATTATCTCAGTTCTGAGCATTTTTAAATGTCTAGCTCCCTGCTTGTAAAACATGCTTTGAATTAGTAAGCATAATACACTGCATTTGTGTAGCCCTTTGAAAGATATTTAATGACATTTTTATACACACACTCTTATTGGAATCTGACAGCCGCCCGATGAGGTAGATAAAAAAGATCTGTATCACGAAACCCTGGTAGAGATAAAGAACTTCTACCTCAGAGAGCTTACGTAAACTTGTCCCTCGTCACCCAGCAAAGAAACAGGTTTGGAATCTTGCCTTTTTATTTGCAGTCAAGTGCTCTGTGCAAGTATCATCCCTGCAGCTCTAAGAAAACCACACGGGGTCTAAGACTCATCCTCACTCTATCTTCCATTCTTAGAGAATCATAGCCGCCCAATCATCAAGCCTGAACCCCCACTAGGCGATCCGGAAACACACTGCACAGTGGACAGCACAGAGGCTCTGGCTCAGAGAGGCTGAGGACTGAACAATTTACTTAACCTCTCTGCGGCTCAGTTTCCTCATCTGTAAAATGGGGACAATAATAGTACCTAGGTTTTGAGAGGATCAATCGAATTAACATACACATGGCATTTAAAACAGAGCATTGCGTGTCTGCTATCACTATTGTCCTAGAAACAGGTTAGAATAGACAGATGGGTCCTGTGCCTTCTAACAGAGGAGACAGAAGAAACAGCTGAATCGAATAACAACCACCAGGAAACTAACCCCCTAGGCACTCTGGACAATACATCCGAGTTTTTATAAAAACTTCAATAGTTGTACCAAACAAATGGACACCTGGTAACCTTACCAGAACTGCTGCATCACGTCACTTGGCAGTAAGAAGCGGCACATGTTTGCCGTCTGGTTGTTGTTTTTGGTAAAAGGCACCAAGTTGCTATAAACTGGGTACGGAGTCATGATGGTAAAGGAGAGGCACCAGGTAGCGGCGATCACCTTCAAAGCGTGGGATTTTGTCTGCCAGACCCGGGACTGCAAGGGTTTGCAAATCGCACCGTATCTCTCCAGAGATATGGCGACCAGATTAAAAGTGGATACACTCACAGACGTGCCTGGGGAGAAACAAAGCGGTCGGTTTTGTCGGCTCTGAAATCCAACGTTTATTTGCACATTCGCTTAAGCATATCTGCTCTGCACGGGTTTGCTATCAAAGGAAATTGCTCCGAGGGTGAAGCAATCTCATGTAGGCATATATATATTTTTTTGAAAAATGGTTTATTCCCAGCTTTGTTCCAAAAAGGATTGAAGGAAGCAAGTAAAGAAATGTATTTGCAAATACACCTTATTGCCAATGCTCAGATAAGTACATCGGACCTTGATTACAACCTCACTTTTTCTCAGGATGACTGTGCTCATTAATTAATAACCAGGCGAACGAAACATGTTCCTATGTCATAGAGGAGACTTTGGAGTAACCCACAGAAAAGCTCTCATTTTGAGCACCATCTGCCTAGTGAAGTCGACCTTATCACCCGGATTCTCAAGGACTGTGACCCCAAAAGGTCACTGAGCTAAGAGCTTTAAACTCTTTCTGAAAATTTCTAGTACAGACTACTTACAGGAGTGAAACATTCTAAATTTCAAAATGTAGTTTGTTGAAAATAAACCCCACCCATAATAAAAAAGGTGAAGAGGAAAAATTCCATCCTGTAACTACAGGTTTCTCTGCATGGAAGTCTAGCATCTTCCTTCTCGTTCTTCTTGCTTTTTTGTATTTTTTGTTTTTCTGTATTCTGTAGAATAAGTATGTAACATAAATGAGAAAGACATCAAAACAACTCATTTAAGATGATGTATGGAAGTAGAGTCAAAAAAGCTTAATTTCCCTTAACTTTGGTGTTTTGTGTGTGTCTACTTTATTATAATGTTGTATCTCTTTAAAGTTCCCTTCATTCTTCATCCATGAATTCTGTCACTTCTTCTGATTATATCTTACAGTGATATATTAAACCCAAGACTTTATCTGAGTTTGGGAGCAGAAGTTCTTAGCCTGGAGACATAAATTATTCCTCTGAGACCATGTATAAAAATGTTCCTTTTCTAGGGAGAATATGCATAGTATTTCTTAGAGACTTAAAGAAAACTGTAATAACCATGAAATAAAAACTCATGTTCTGAGACCAGCTTTGCTGTGCTTCCCTGGACCTAAGGAGGCGATGCCATTTGGAGTAGAGAGGATAGCCCAAACTCCTCAGCGTGAAGGGGCCACAGCGACTGTAGACCCACCCTCCCTTTTTGACGACACACAGTAGGAGCTGGATGCCTGTTGGCTGCCAGCAATAGCACTGAAGGGAACTCAAAATGAAGGGGAGATTTGAAGTGAGGGAAATCAGAAGTCCCACAAAACCATGACACTATTGCAAGCACTTGCAGCATTATCTTGCTTTTCATTTTAGCAATGTTTAAAGACATTATTGATTGAGGCGAAAGTCACATAATGTAAAATTAACCATTTTGTGGCGTTTAGCAAATTTTAGATTTCCTTTTATGTATTCTGGCTTAAGATTCTTAAATAATATTATCATAAGCCTAAAAGGCCATGGGCTAGTTATCATGATTGCTTCATTGTTTAATTGCTCTGAGGGTAAAGCAGCCTATTTTTATTTTCGAGGACTTGGACACCCACGGCACTTTCCTGGGCATTGGTCTATGACACGCAGGCCAGGAATTCCTCATCCTCTCCTTAGTGCTGGATCCCGCTTCCTCAGTGGGGGGAAACCCAGGCTTTTAAAGCTTCCGGTCATGGAAGACTGTCCATTTCCCGCCTCTCCTCTTCCTCCAAACTAGAGCTCAGAACAGGCCAGGGACAAGGCAGTTGTGCGGACAAGGGGACAGAGAGACATGTCTTTGTGCAGCTCCAGGAGAGCCATGAGCGGTGTGCTCATTCACCGCTGGGGTGCCTGCCGATCCGGGTTCAAATCCCAGCTCTGCGGCTCACCGCCTGTGTGCCCTTGGGCCCATTATTAACCTCTCTGTGCCTCTGCTCCCTCCTCTGGGGGACAGCGAAAATTAACTGTGCTTAGGGTGTTTGGTTTATAAAATGAGATCATGGAAGTAAAAGCACTTAGCATAACATCAGGTGCACAACAAGTACTACAAAATATTAGCTCTTGTGGCACAGGCATGGAGCTGCATATCTCAGGGTCGACTTAGTGACCCCACAGCCCCCACGAGCAAATTCAACTCATCGTCTAGATGTGGAGGCTGCGCTTTCTGGGGAACGGACTGAGAAGTGAGTCCTGAGCAGGGTACCCAGCGCTGTGATGACTGGGGTTTCACACAGCCCCTGTTCCCTGGCAAAGTCAGAGCAGCAAAGGCAAGAACCCTCCTCCCCCTCCTCTCCACCCCAAACCATGACTGGGGCTGGTAGAGCTCAGGCTACAATCAACAGCTTCCAGAAAGTGACCGAGCAGCCTGCACCTGTTTTTCTAACAGAAACAAGCAAAATGAACCTCTTCCGTGGCTTCTTATCAACTTATCCCACTCCGAGAAACTGACCTCTGAAACATACACCTGGGAGGGACTTCTGGGGAGTGGTGAGGCCCAAGCCACCCTAAAGCCAGCACCTGTGACCTCGCACACAGCCCGCACAGCCGGCTGTTTTGTCTTTCACACTCAGCAGGGCTCCTCTGCTGAGGCTGTCAGGGGTTTGGGAAGCTCTGGGGCCCAGTGGGGTCGGGGGTGAGTGCCAGAGATGGTCCCCCTGCCCCCCCCGCCCCCCCCCTCACCACAGCCACTCACCCATGAAGTAGGCGGTGGTCTTGCAGACGGCGCTGCCAAAGATGAAATCCTTGAGCAGGTTGGGGATGAGGTTGAAAGGCATGCAGAAGAGGCAGAGCATGAGGTCACTGACGGCCAGGGACAGCAGAAAGATGTTGGTGACGGTCCTCATCCTCTTGTTCCGAATCAGCACCGTGATGACCAGGGTGTTCCCCAGCACGCTGAGCAGGAATATCAGGAATATCAGGGAATACAAGAGAATCTGCACGGCCGGCTGCCACTCTGCAGGGGGGAGCAGGGACAAGACGGAGAGATGGAGGTGATCAGAGCAGAATGTTAAAACCTCAGCACATGAAGCCAACGCTTATTTTCTCCTGACCCCCCCCTACCCCCACACACACACAGGGGTGTGATCATTGAACCCAATGATCCCCATACTGACAATGTTCTGCAGAGACAACCTGGGGGGTGGGGGGTGGGGGTGGGGAGAGGGAGGAGGCGAGTGAGTGATTCTGCTGCTTCTTAAAGGTTGGTTTGTGCAAGGATCACTCAGGGAACCACTTTTTCTTAAGAACAAAGCTCCCCAGGGAGAAGGGATGGCTTTCTTTCAGAGCCGCTGAGCGTTAATCACTTCTTCACGCCGGATTTGCCCCAAGAAAAGGGGACAGCTGGCTCCTGACAGCACCTTTTCTGTGACGCTTGTAAGTTGGAGCCTCTACACTGGCTCGCTTGCTCTCGCTCGCTCGCACTGCCTTCAGCGCCTCCTCCCACTGCTTTTGTTCCCCCAAGTCCTGGCCTTTAATCCCCACTCTCCTGACTGAGGGCAACAGAGAATATCTGACTCCATTCTGCTCTCTGATCTCTTAGCCAAACTTCTGCCCAGACGACTTTTTCCAGCCCTGTCTCAGGGAGACGTGGTCCTGCTCTCTATGCCAGCCTCGCCTTTTGCTGATCTCTCCCTCTCCGTTAGAGTTTTCTGAATTAAAAGGAGAGTCTCTGCCGCCTACCTTTGGACGGGAGGGGCCGATCCAAGCAGAAAAGCGTCTCATTCTCGATGCCTAGTTCGCAGGGCAGAGTGATGTTGCTCCCATTCACAAGGAAGCTGTCGATCGCATCCATCCTTGCCTGCTGCTCTCCACCCAGTGCTGGCGAGCGGGTGAATTGCTCACTGTCACTCATGCCTCTGAGGACCCGAGCGTCTCCCAGATGCGACCTGCCGTGGAGGGGCAGGGAGGGAGGGTCCTCCAGGTGTGGGCTTTTCCAGCCATTCCTCCAGGAGACTTGAGTTCACTACGCTCAGGCCAGCTGGGCAAGCAGTTGCACTCCTGTCTTGGAAAAGGCAGCCAATGCAAGCCAAGCCCGCTCCACCTTCCAGGCCCACCCCTCCCACTCCTGGGCCAGCCCTGGGGCCCTGAGCATAGCCTGGCTGGGAGTTAACCCTTCCCAAAGTGTCGCTGCTTTTACACACACATGCACGCACACGTGGACACACACACACACACATACACACACCCGGCCACAAGCGCACATACACACACTCCCCCAGTCCCTCTGGTCTCTGCATAGGAACCTGTCCACCATCCCAGACATAGGCAGAATGAGGCCCAAACTGGCTGTGTGAGACAGGAACAATTAACACGGTAACAGATATGATAATGCAGACCATCAGGACTAAAGGACACGGAGGGGCTGTGCTTCTGCCTCCTTATAGAAAAGCAATTAGTGCCTTTTTAGCTTTGGAACCATGCCCAGCCATGTGTGTGCATATAACTGCCGGCTGGTTGTTACCAACCACAGTGTTATTTCTGTGCTCTCTGCCCTTGTTAACCGAAAGGAGGGGGTAGTTTTGAGTAGAGGTTCCTGGAACCGTATTACAAAAAAATTTTTGCAAGATTTCTCATTCTTTTATTCATGTTTGTATTGGTTCATCCATTCAGCACATATTTGTGGAGAGTCACCATTCTCCAGGCACTTTTCTAGGCCCATAAGCAAATAATGAACAAGATTATGTCAGATCAGGTTAGGCACCACAAGGGGAGTAAGGCAGGAAGACGTGGTGGAGAGGCATGGACTGAGGGTGCTGATGGAGATGGAGTGGTCAGGAAAGATCCTGGAGGAGAGAACCAGGATCTGAGGCCCGGTGACAAGGAGGGGGAAGCTGGGGGAGACCTGGAGAAAGCATCGAGGCAGGAGGAACAGTAAGTGCAAGGGCCCTGAGGTGGGAAGGAGCTTGGCTTGTTTGAGGAAGGGATGGAAGCAGGAGTGAATGAGGGTCACACAGGGGGAGGGGAGGTTAGAGAGGGGGATGCACTGGGAGGGCTGGGTTTTCTACGAAGCTCTGTGGTTTTGAAAGCCCCTTAATGCCCATCACGCAGAGGGCTCCTCAGCTTAGACCTCTGGGAAAGCAGGCAACAGCAGGACCCCTGTTTTTGACATCTGCTTGGTTGGGCTGAAACTTGGCCCATTGGATAGATACCTCTGGGTCCCCTTGTGTACTGACAGTCTCTCAGTCCACAGAGCTACACACTCTGTTCTGCTGAATCCCTGCTGGACACAGACGAACTCAATGAGACATCTTTACCATCGAGGCTCAGATGTGGGGCTGGGAAGACGGTGGCACCTCTTTTCTTTGAAACCATGACCATCTCATGTTTCAGGCACTTTTTCATGGACACCAGGAGTGGAAGGAACATTGGAGAAGCAGGCAGTAGCTATTAAGAGGCTTTGGTGTTAGGCCTGTGATCAAATCCTGGTTGCACTGGGTACCTGCTGGGCACTAGGCAAATTTCTTTCTTTAAAAAAAATATATTTCTTAATTGATTTCAGAGAGGGAAAGAGAGATAGAAGCATCAATGATGAGCAAGAATCACTGATCGGCTGCCTCCTGTACACTGCACACCACACAATGGGGATCGAACCCGCAACCCGGGCATATGCCCTGACCAGGAATCGAACCATGACCTCCTGGTTCATAGGTCAGTGCTCAACCACTGAGCCATGCTGGCCAGGTAGGCAGGTTTCTTAGCCTCTCTAAGACTGATTTCCTTCATCTGTCAAATGGGGAAGAAAATGACTTCATAGATATTTGTTACGGAGATGGACTGATTGCCTCCAGGCACTACCTGACACACAGAACGTGTTCAGTAAATCACAGGTAGTATTATTAGCCACCTAACAGTCACTATTATTTATTTTATGCACAAGGAAACTGAGACTCAGAGTGGCCACGTGGTTTGCTGGAGAGAACCAGCGGTGGATGCCCCCGAGTGGACCTGCAGCCCATCCTCGCACCACTTCCTGTAGCATGAAGCTTTCTTCATTATCCTAGTGCCCTGCAGCCCCCTGGAGCCAGGATGCCTGTCTCTGCGCCTCCTCCCAGCCACTCCTCCTGCTGGCTGGCTCTTCCCAGGGTGCGGATGGAGACGGACCCCGCCCTCGGAGGGGACAGAGTGCAGAAACAATCAGGTACAGCTACATTCCACCCCCTGTCGGTCCCAGGGGCTGTCTGCTGTGAGTGCTTCCCCTGGGCAGAAGGTGCCTCCCTCGGAGGGTCATCCAGCCTGCTGCCCCCATAGTTGTGGGGAGCCTGCTGCTGCGTCCAAGGCAGAGGTGCAGAGGGCTTGGCCTGACCTGCCCTGGCCTGAAACGGACAGAGCCCAATTTGGGACAAGCTTCTTCCTTCCCTTCTTCCCTCCCCTCATTCCTTCCTTTCTCTCTCCCTCCCTTTCCTCTCTCCACATTCCTATTCCATTCTGGGGAGGAGTGGGCAGGCATGGGGGCGGAGGGGGTTAGGAGGGCAGGTGCTAGAGGTTTTGTAAACTCACAGGAGTGAATGTGGCACGTTTGAGTGCTGTGCTTTAGAGGCTTTCGTGCGTATCTGAACCACAGGCGAGTGGTTGAAGAATGTGGATTCCAGGCTCCCCTCCCAGAGGCCCGGGAGTCTGCACTTTTATCCTGCATCCCTGGCGATTCAGACGGAGGCCAGTGACCACAGGGCCACCTCTCAGGAAGCTCCTTGCAAGGCACGATGAGGGTGAGCACAGGTGTCAGACTGCAGGAACCTAATGGTCTTCACCACCAGCTGTGGGACATGAACAAATTACTTCACCTTTCTGTCTCAGCGCGCTCAGCTGCGGAATGTGCATAATAACTCAATGCTACCCGTAAACAAAGCCCTAGCCCAGTGATGGCGAACCTTTTGAGCTCGGCGTGTCAGCATTTTGAAAAACCCTAACTTAACTCTGGTGCCGTGTCACATATAGAAATTTTTTGATATTTGCAACCATAGTAAAACAAGGACTTATATTTTTGATATTTATTTGATATATTTAAATGCCATTTAACAAAGAAAAATCAACCAAAAAAATGAGTTCGCGTGTCACCTCTGACACGCGTGTCATAGGTTCGCCATCACTGCCCTAGCCAGATTGGCTCAGTGGATAGATCGTCGACCTGCGGACCAAAGGGTCCTGGGTTTGATTCTGGTCAAGGGCAAGTACCTCGGTTGCAGGCTCCTTCCCGGCCTGGGCCCTGGTCCAAGCTTGTGCATGAGGCAACCTATAGATGTGTTTCTCTCACATCAATATTTCTCTGTCTTTCCCTCTATCTTCCACTGTCTCTAAAAATCAATGGAAAAATATCCTCAAGTGAGGATTAAAAGAACTAAAAGCCACACAGGGAGAGCACTTACTAATAGAACAACACCTGGAACATAGCACTGGACACTCACTTATTATTAGTGCATTATGATCAATTCCAGGGATGCTCTATTTACCCCCTTGATCATGGCCAGGTTAAGGGTCTGTATCTCCAGGACCCTAGCACAGTGCTTGGCATATAGTATGTGTTTGGGAAATATACAGGCATAAAGAGCAAAACATTAGGAGAGCCAATACTTGCTTGCTTATTATATCCTTTTATAACTCTGTTGCATGGCGTTTTTTTCCTGGCCCACTCTGGATTTTTCACTCTGAGTTTCTGAGCCAGTATTACCATAGATTTAAACTAAAAAAGAGAGAATTCCAAGGAGAGACGTGAGGGCTTTCAAGGGAAGAGGTGATGCATTTTCCAGGGTGGTAGCCCTCATTTCATTCTTCAACACACACTTATTAGATACCTTCTAAGTGCCAGGCACTGTGCCAGGTGCTGAGGGCAAGCCATGAGCCAAGTAGATGGAAATTCTCAGTCCATCCCAGGAGACAGGCGATAAATAGACTGGGTGAAATGGCAGGGCCCCTCTCGCCTCGAGCCCTATCCTCTGATTGGGCACCGTTCCTGGCAAATTGATATTAAGTTACTAAAGTGAGGTGAAACGGTGCAAGGCCTGCCTCTCACTCCCAGACACACAGTGCTGGGCTGAGCGTGAGCCCGGGTGCCTCCTCCAGTCTTTGGGTGTTGGGGACTCATCTCTGGCAACTACTGCCCCAGGAGGATGGAACACGAGCAATCTTGGTGGGTTCCTGGCTAAGGAAATCTGTAGCTGCTCCCCAAACCATTCTCCATCTTATCACCTACAAGATCGATATGTATTTTTTACTCATCCTATCTAATAAGGAGGGGCTATGCTAATTGACTGCCATGCCCTCAAAGATGGCAGTGCCCACCTCCACAAGATGGCCGGCAGGGGAGGGCAGTTGGGGGCGACCAGGCCAGCAGGGGAGAGCAGTTGGGGGGGACCAGGACTGCAGGGGAGGGCAGTTAGGGGGGACCAGGCCAGCAGGGGAGGGCAGTTAGGGGGGACCAGGCCAGCAGGGGAGGGCAGTTGGAGGCGATCAGCCAGCAGGGGAGCAGTTAGGTGTTGATCAGACTGGCAGGGTAGTGGTTAGAGGGCGATCAGGCTGGCAGGCAGAAGCAGTTAGAGGCAATCAGGCAGGCAGGCAGGCAGGCAGGCGCGCATTTGGGAGCCAGCAGTCCTGGATTGTGAGAGGGATGTCTGACAGGGATCAGGCCTAAACTGGCCATCGGACATTCCCCGAGGGGTCCCAGATTGGAGAGGGTGCAGGCTGGGCTGAGGGACACCCCCTCCCCCAGTGCACGAATTTTATGCACCGGGCCTCTAGTTATAACATGAATCACATGCTCATGGCACTTTTTTTTTTTTCTGAAGTGGAGAAAAGTATGTAAGTGTAAATATAACACAAATTTCAGGGCTCCACCTAATTTATATTTTACATTTCATTTTTTTAAATATTTTTTTTATTGATTGCAGAGAGGAAGGGAGAGAGAGAGAAAGATAGAAACATCAATGATGAGAGGGAATCATTGATTGGCTGCCTCCTGTATGCCCCCGACTGGGGATCGAGCCCA